AATACCGGTTGTAAAAGATTATAAACAGTGTTTAGCTGGCAAGCTCTATGGTTTTATTGTCTGTCTCACAGTTAAAGAACCGCGTTATGGTTCCTTCCACCCAGCTCTTTCTGCAATGCTTAAACCGTAAATGAAGAAAGTCTAGATTTCCCCAGTCCTGAATTGTCCATCTCACCGGGGCTCCTTTTCAATTTATCAGGAATATTTTGTTTCTATCAAAATCAAATATATGCAGAGACTAAGCAGAGACTAGGCATTAGTCTTGGTTTTACCGTTTGTCCCAGCTTTTAATGCTTTGCAGGGAAACCGAACCAACGATATGTCGCTAGTTTATACACAAACCACGTGCCTCGTCCACATCCACATCCATTATGTTCTGTATTTATGTCAGGTGTTAAATCTTGACAGGCACCATTCACCTGGATATAGTGTGATTAACAGGTAGAGATATAAACACACAAGGTTAACATGTAGGTTATGATGGTGTTATATGGAATAGTCATCAAGGACTTTTCTTAAACAGGTGAGACATAGAGTCTATCTTTTGACATGTTGATAGGTTTGTATGGTTTAGGAACTAAATATAACTGTTATGTAATGATTTGTCATCGAGGACTTTTCTTTAACAGGTGAGATGTGTGAATCTTTTGATGTGTTAAAGGGTTTGTATGGTTAATGTTCAGACAAGAAGTGAAAAGCTGTTTTCAGGGATTTACTGGGCCTAAATTCCTGTGTCCTATATGCATAAAATTGACAATGGGCGAATGAAATTTATTAGCACTTCCACAGGGATTCAGAAAATGTCCAAATACTTTTGCAAAACTTTGATCAAGTAACAATAAGTTATCACTGAGTCTGCTACTAGCCGGGTTATGGTATCATTTGCAATTTAATTACTGTAACAATGCGACGATCATGATACACAATATAATACCAGTAACTGAATTACAACAATATTACTGTAATATTGCAGGGACTGGGATAGAAAACTTTGACAATGGGCCATTTTCAGGATTATTGGCCATTTTCTGAATTTAGAATGGGCCACTGCCCTTGTATCAATAGTTAACTTCAAAATTTTAATGGGCCATTTTTTATTCTTATATGCAAAATGGCCCATGGCGCCTGCCTTTCCCAGTCCCTGATTACAACATAGTATTAGTGATAATATTTAAGTGTCTGGGACCCTCATTTTGTAGTCATGGCCTTCCTTTCATGAAGCAACCTTTACCAGAGGACCAGATAAGCTGCATCCGGGGTAAAATCATATAGAAAATTTCCAATTCAGCATTGAAAAATAATTGTTGAGCACTACCAATTACGCATTGAAAATGTTAGATCACATAAAAGTTTAAAACAAATGCGTGACGGAATATATTTATAAAAATAAACATGTAATGAAAAAGACATCGATTGCTATCAAGTTGTACTGTTAGTATAGGACAAGTGTTGTACTGTCAGTTTAGGATGAGTGATTTTTTATGAAATCATTTCCATTATATTTAACTTGGTTTTGATTAGGTATGACATAATGCAGAACATACCTGCTTAGTAAACTTACTCAATGACATAATACTTAGGTGAGTAATATGACTGAAATACGCACACATTTGAAAGCAGTGGGTAACGGAAATTGAAATACCCACTCAACATTCATAATACCCACTCCAAAATAATACAGTGGGTACAGTACCCACATGAGCTAAATCTTATCTGGAGCTCTGATTCCTGGACCTGAGGAAATCTAGACTTGCTTCATTTAGAGCTTTAGCATTGCAGAAAGGGGTGGGTGGAAGGGAACATACTGCGGTTCGGGACAGTGACAGTGAGACAGACTAAATTAATGGCTTTCCCTCTTGATCGGTTCTGTTGTCAATGTAATGCAAGTCACCTCTATAAAACCATATCATTAGTTTTGACTGACAATAATATTCTGAATTGGTAAGTTTCTAGTTTCAATTTTGGAATCAACAATGACATTTGCTGCAGATTTGTGTATGAAATATAGGCCTCTGAGTATGGTGTCTTGAGACCATCTTTCACATAGGTCCTTGGTAGGGATGCCACGATACATTGATACATCGATACTTTTCTGAGACTATACAATTATCGATCCATTCAAAACTGTATCAATATTAAGTTTCGAATTATCAGTTTAAATATGTTTATGTATTGTGTACATTTTGCAATTGTATGTTTTTTGATGTAATGAGAGTTATAATTGATTATTTTTCATGCACAAAGATGGGAAATTAGAACTTTGTAATCTCTGAGAATAAAAAATGTTGATCTTTTCATGGACAATTATAAAATATGAAATATTAATGTTCAAAATGTAATTCAATTTACGCAATATTGCCGTGAAAATTGATATCGTGATACTTATCGAACCGTGACATGGGTATCATGATACGTATCAATTCATGAAACTTATGTATCATGACATCTCTAGTCCTTGGCATGGTGATCTGCTCCCTAAGCACAGATCTGACTTTACAAACATTCTTTATCACTTTACCAGGCCGAGTAACAACTAGTGGTGTGACGAAGCATCGATACGCATCGATCAATGGGCCGCCGATACAGTGAATTGATGCAAAGTTTTACATTGAACATAGAGATTTTTCTGGGTTATATCTGTTTATTCTTGAATACAACGTTTCAAGGCTTGTTCTGGCCCAATCATCAGGTAAAACTATTGCCGAATCGCGATATCTGTCAAGATATACTGTTTTTAAAATCATCACAAATGCCAATACCAGCACTAGTAACAACAAGTACCAACTTTTAACATCTTCCTGTGTGATGTGATTGAGGATCAACCCACAAACGTTGCTCTTTGGGTAGATGTTTTATACGCTACACAACTCAGATCAGTGAATAGTATGATTAAAGATGAATGTTTAAAATATTATAATGAGCATATACATTGTGGCTTTCTTTAACTTGCATTAAGTACTTAATTCTGACTGTTTACTGAATGGGCATTTGTATTCTTAAGTAAATTGACCCCCCTCCGTGGTGTAGTGGTTAGAGCGTCTGCCCGGAGAGCGGAAGGTGGCTGGTTCAATCCCGGCCGCGTCATAACAAAAGACGTTAAAATATGGTACTTGTTGGTCCCTGCCTGTCGCTCGGCATTAATGGGTACAACGAGGACTGGTCGGTTTGGAGTCAGTATAATGTGTCTGAGTGGGGTATTCATGCTTTACTGTGGCATGGTATCTCAGTGAGCTAGCACAATAAAACCTGCTTATATAATTAACTCTGTGCCAGTACAAGCAACCACACATACACACACACGCATGCATGTCGTCATTTGAGCGAAATTCCCATTTCACTTCACCTCACCTTACCTAAATTGCTGAAATTTGTTTTTAAGAAATTGTTTACCCAACTTTGAAATGCTGGAACTTTTGTCAATGCCAATACAATGATGTGAATCAATTATTTCAAGATACAGTTTAGCAAACTTAACTGCGAATGTTTTAGTGCAACAGCAATAACTCAAGATACACTGTCCATAACCCCACATGGGTAAAATGTGTGAAGCCCATTTCTGGTGTCCCCTGCCGTGATGGTGATGGAATATTGCTAAAAGCGGTGTAAAACCAAACTCAGTCAGTCAGTCACTGTCCAGCTATGTTGACATTTAATGGTGAAAAATTATCCTGCCAAAGGCCAGGCTAGGTTTCTCCACTCACAGTGTGTTGTCAGGTTGAGGGACTGTGGTTTAGCAGAAAAGTTTTGTTACAGCATTTGCTTAGACAGTTAATATCCCCTACTTAAGCACTAACCTGTGAAGATCAAGGTTAGAATTGATCTTCAGTAACACATACTTGTCGTGAGTACTTACAGACCACTGCCATATAGTTAAAATATTGCTGAGTGAATTCTGGGACTGCCATCCAGATTGTCCACAGCTTGAGTCTACTAACATTCTGTTTGGACAAGTAAACTTGTCCATATGCTGGACCCGTGAAGATCCAGGCTAGAATCGATCTTCAGTAACCCATGTTTGTCGCGAGAGGCGACTCGGGTGGTTAGGCTTGCTGACTAGCGTAGATCGATGATCATGATGTTGATCACTGGATTTAAAGAATATATCTTATAAATATGAGTAGATAAAATACAATGAAACTCCAAAACAATTCTAAAACTGAGACCTGCACAGAATATACTTGCCCAATCACTTTGTAATAAATTTTCATATGCCCTGTGAGAAAAACTAAACGCTGCCTGCAGTTGCATAGGAACACACAAACTGATGTTAGTAAATAACTAAGAAACAACTTGCATCTAAAGAATTTGTCAGTTAATATTATGCTTTATTTGAGAAAACGTACCAAATTATTCAACGGTACTTGTAGAATTTGTTATACACAACAGGATTTGTATGCTTCAAATAGTAGGGCCCAAACACAGCTACACCCAATAGACCATGTAATGTATGTATCACCATGGTAACACATTTAAATGGCTGAAACCTATTGTGGGCTATGACAAAAGAAGACGAACAGTGAAATATTTACTTATTTGCCAACCAGTGGATGAAGTGTTGAAGTGATGCAGTGGTGAATGGCTGTTTACTTTTTGTTTGTTGCCATGGAAACAAATGGGATCAGTTAAAGATTAAATCTGTTCGGATTCAGAATTACTAGACCTTATATTTATTTATTAGTGTATGTCAAGTCGAACGGCATAATTATCAGACATCCTCAATTGAGAGTTTGGGTAGAACCTGTATTTGCGATGCAGTTTCTGACGTGCCCTGAATGGTTTTGTCCGACATTTGACCACATATCATATTGTGTCAACTCGCGCACCTGCTTAACGTGTGCATCTGTCTCATGGAGGCATTTACATATCGCAAATCAAAGTTTCTTTGGTAAATATATAAACAAGACCACGAATCGTGTTGACAAATCCCCAAAGCTGTTTCTTGACCTGTGTCACTGTTGTGACAGCATCAGCATTACAGTAAATACCTGTCTTCAGTCAATATGCGATCCCCGCTTGGTGTCAGGTCCCCCTCTTTTGTAACAGGTAAGGGGGATGTCCCCCTTAATCCCAAATTCCTGGATGCAACACTGAGCTACATAGCATCATGTGTGCAAATAAAAAAGTCTGAACCAGACAATCCAGTGAACGTCTTGAGCATCAATCTACACAATTAGGGCACGATGACATGTGTCAACCAAGTCAGGGACCCTGACCACTCAATCCTGTTAGTCGCCTCGACAAGCATGGGTTACTGAAGACCAATTTTCAGTGTTCGCGAATGGTGTTTTAAAGTAACAGGACATTGGGTCCTGCAAGTTTCAGATGTCTGTCTGACCCATTGAAAATTCACAGGACCCATACAATCAAATTAAACACACATTTCAGATTGAACATTTCTTATAATTGGCATTGAACTTATTAACAAGCATAAGATTTATAAACAGCAAACAAGTGTCACATGTCACAAAACAACTTCAGTCAAAGTCATTGTAAAATATAGACACTGGGGCCGGTGGGTGTTAGACTTCTATCAGGCCGTTGGCGAATCTGCCGGATTTGTCAGAGGGTCAGACTCTATTTGTGAACACTGATTTTAACCCATACCTTCTCGGGTTCCTACAATCAGCTAATGGATACATTGGATAGTGATATAACTTTAATTTAAATTTTGTTCACTCACTCACCGGATATGGCAAAGAACCCATTTAACAACCACATTCACTCGCTAACTCTCACATTTTTATTGCAGGACCTCATGGGATGATGGCGTCATCATTAAATATGCTTCAATTCATGGTGGTGCTCGCCCTTGTTGCCATGGTAACTGGTGAGTTTACCTTCGTCTGCCCCCAGTTACCATCTACTACTGGTCCCGATTTGCCCCAGCTGCCAACACAATATGAAATGAGAGTGGAGGCCAATATTGTACAGGTGAGAGAATAAAAGTTGTAATTGAAGCTGTTTCTGTAAATTTAATTAATAGTGGTAAAATAATATTTTGATGGAAGTCGTTTTTTTCTAGTGAATCTGAGCAACAGGATAATATAGGGAACTACCTTTTTGCATGTTAGTCTGTCATCATAAGATTCTGTGATTTTGTTGTACTTTAAATGAAACACCGAGAACAAGTAGGGTTGGTCTAAGTTAACGCTCATCACGTACCGCACGTGCAATTGTTTCACTGCTCCATCTACTGCCCTTACCCCGTTGTAATACAAACCCATAATAGCGATTTGAATCTATGATATCGTTTGTTAAACAACTTTTACCCTAAGTTGAATAGAAAGATGAGATTTAAATGTTCATTTGGCAAGGTAAACTTACGAGGATTCGCAATCTTAATTTCACTTAATTTGATTTACTTTTTTGTTTAAAGTGATATTCATTGGTACGTTTTCACTGCAAACAGACTATAGTAGGAAATGATAACACCTGAATGGCTGATGGCATATTCTATTTTTAACAGCCTACTCGTGGTGAAAGCCACTTAGGGGGGAACAAATCTGAAATAGCATTTTTATCCCCCGCTTCGCGATGAAATATTAGACTGTCTGTCCGTCTGTCTGTCCGTCCGTCCGTATGAATTGGAATATCTTAAGAACCATTGACAGGATTCTTTTCATAATTGGTACCTAGGTTCATCACAGTATAAGGAAGGTCCTAGTGACCAAAAGGTAGTTTGGTGACCTTGACCTTCATTTCAAGGTCACAAGGGTAATTTAATGTTTTACCCTAGTCAGCGAGATATCTCAAGAACCGGTCACTGGATTGTCTTCATATTTGACACCAAGCTTCATATAGTGAAGGCGCAGGGCCCAGTCGATTTTGGTGACAGCGACACTTTGAAGATTTCAGCATGTTAACCTGCATGATAAGCTTGTCAGCGAGATACCTCAATCCATCACTGGGTTGGTGGTTAAGGCGTTTGCTCATAACCCCGAAGACACGTGTTCGATTCCCTACATGGGCACAGTGTGTGCAGCCCATTTCTGGTGTCCCCTGCCGTGAAATTGCTGGAATATTGCTCTAAGCGGCATGTAAACCTTAAGTCACCCTTTGCCCCTATAGCTTTATATTTAATTTACTTGAAGATACTATTTAATGTTTGAGGACATTTCTCAATATGGGCGGCGGGGTAGCCCAGTGGTTAAAGCATTCGCTCATCACCCCGAAGACCCGGGTTCGATTTCCCACATGGGTACAATGTGTGAAGCCCATTTCTGGTGTCCCCTGCTGTAATAATGCTCTAAGTGACATAAAAACCCGTCTCACCCATTGCCCCTATAGCTTTATATTGTCATTACTTGAAGATACTATTTCATGTTTCTCAATAGGGGCGATGGGGTAGCCTAGAGGTTAAAGTGTTGGCTCGTCACACAGAAAGCCGGGTTTCGATTCTCCACAGGGTACAATGTGTGAAGCCCATTTCTGGTGTCCTCAGTGTAAGACCATGCTCACTCAATCACAATTTTCGATATTTCAGTCTCAGCAAACAATTGAGGTCTTGGAAAGTTATGACTTCGAATCAAAGCAAGTTGCACTGACGATAACTAGAAACGGACAGGCCACCAAAAGTATTCACAATTTCAACACACAGGAACGATATGACATTCTAGCAAGTAAGTGCAAATTACATACTGCAACATAATGTAATAGAATACAAGCACTAGGTTGGGTAGATAATTTCCTTTCTTATGTTGGTTTGTTTATTGACACAGTTTTTTTGTTCCATGATGGATAGTCCAGACAATCTAGTGATTGGTGTTCCCCAATGTGATACTTGCTGAATATTCCCTAAAAGTTACTCAATCACTGTATACTCTCGCCCTTTGTGCGGACATTTCTATGTCTTGTAAAACCCACCCGTGAAGATCCGGGTTAGGATTGGTCTTCAGTTACCCTTGCTTGTCGTAAGAGGCGACTAACAGGACCGGTTGGTCAGGCTCGCTGACTTGGTTGACACATGTCATTGTATCCCAGTTGGGTAGATCGATGCTCATGCTGTTGATCCCTGGATTGTCTGGAACAGACTATTATTTACAGAGTGCCGCCATATAGCTGGACTATTGCTGAGTGCGGCGTAAAACTCAACTCACTCACTCACTCTTGTAAAACCCAAATTGTATGAAGCTCATTTATTTTTCAGCCATAGAGAATATTGTCAGTTGGGATCTAAACTATATTTTCACAATGATCGCATACTTCAGAGATGCCAACCTCTAAAATTTTATCGTAGTCACTACGAATTTTAGCCTCAAACTACGTTGATATGATTCACTAGAAAGTCTACGAAATTTGAAGAACTTTCATTAAAATTCGGATATACAGACAAAAACGTATATATTTTCGTCTATTAAATACATTTTTGGTCTTCACTTACCTTCCATTAATCAAATTTAATGAATTATTTGAACTGGAATCATTGCAAGTAGTAGCAAACAGAATTGTAGCGAAATTGTCCATCAGAAATCTGAAGCTGATTTCAATACTTTTGCGATTTGTGTACCGGCGGAAAATGTCGATCATATCGGAATGATTTAACCAGGTGACCGTTCCTTCTCTTCGATTATCCGAAACCGGTATGTGTAATTAAAGCTTCACTCTTGATTAGTGTCATATTATCTTTCTCAGAATCCATCACAATTTTATGTATTTAGTTGACTACTAATTTTATGGTCAAACTACTAATTTTGATCCTTGAAACTACTATTTGCAACACTTTGGGGTTGGCAGCTCTGCTACTTAGGCACAACCTCCAGGAAAATGATTATTTAGTCTTATTTGCATAATCATGCTTAAACTTAATGTTCAGGGTGCCGTTGTACAAAGCGATCTTAGCACTAAGGTGACCGTAACTCCCATACCTTAACACTGACTTAAGGTAGCCTTAGCGCTAAGGTTGTTTTGAACAACGGCACCCTGGCCAATTCTGGAATAGCATTCGTTCCAATATCATGTGTGGTAAGATTTGATTATATTGCGGACAAAATGTATAACCTGGTGTTGTGTCATGATATCCTACAGCGTCAGAAATTTATGTCATTTTGAACAACTCCAGAGAACATTTTTACATCAGTTGACCTCAAAGTTAGTCCGTGTCAATGTTAAGATTTGTCAGTAATCTCTCTGCTGAAGTTGCTTAGATGTACCTTTTAGATTTGAGACTTTACAGTCTACAAACGGATAAGGTTTGCAGAAAGAGCTACTCTGTTATCAGTTCATGTTGATATACTTAGGAGATAAACATACTGTTTGGGAAAATCAGAGGTATATAAAAAAATTATAATAGCTCAAGGTTTGATTTAATACCAAACGAGTTATTAAGATTTAAAGGAAATACATACTGTGTGGGAAAATCAGAGGTATGTAATGTGATTTTATACTTCTGAATGGTCACGGAAATTGCCGATCGTATCGGGTGAACTGATGTAGCAGACCATTTCTTGCCCGGTCTAAACTTTCCCCGGGGAGAATCTGGCCTAGGCCAAACTTTCCCTGGGGAAGTTTTGTCCTAGGATATTCTTACCCCGGGGAAAGTTTGGGCTAGGCTAAAGTTTCCACCCTGTTTAAACTAGGATATTTTATTCTGTTTTCTATGAAAAGTGGGGAGATTCTGGCCTAGCTAGGCTACTTCTTCTCCACCCTTTCTCATATATCCAAAGGGGGAGATTCTGGCCTAGCTAGGCTACTTCTTCCCTTGTTCGCAAAAAGTGTACCACAATATATCATATTGTGAAGTTCAAATTACAATATACCGGTTAACCGGTATTATCGCCCATCCCTATCAGGCAGCCCAAACATATAGAAAAATTCTTTTTAAATATTTGTTTATTTGTTTGTTTGCAACTGAGATTTTCGCAGGGGCACTGGTTCTTAACATCCAGTCATGATTCTATATTTTGTGTTAAAGATGAAACGTGCATCACCACAAGCATCAACAACGGCAGCGAGAACTTCAATGTCTTTGGCTTCACGTTGAGAGGAACAGACGGGAAGATTCATATGGCTTCAGTGTCGGACGTTTTCAAGTTTTCGAAAAAATACAATGTTTCATATGTTGGTGAAACAATGGTGAGTTCAGAAGAACTAGGTCTTGCTTGTCTGATTGAATGTATGGTTACTTTTATTTCTCATATTGCCACTTTCACTATAGTCCGTTTGACTTCATTTTAGACCGATGAATTGCACACTAACACAAAATCTAATAATTGCAACAAAACCAAATTTTGCAGTCACATGAAATCGGCAGACCAACTCTGATTATAAGCGATGTCCACCAAACGATCATTATTTTGTTGTCACTTTTCGCTATGTCTTACGAGGGGGGACCACTTGCTGGTAGAACAGCCAGGTAATCAACAAGCGTGTGCAGTGAAATGTAAATGTCACACGTGCAACTTGCACACCTGGCTGTTCTACCAACAAGTGGTCCTCCCTCGTAAGACATAGCGAAAAGTGACAACAAAATAATGATCGTTTGTTTAACAACCTTTTTATTCAGGTGTCCAAAATTATGAGACAAATCATCAGAGTTGGTCTGGTGATTTCATGTGACTGTGCAAAATTTGGTTTTGTTGCATTTATTAGATTTTGTGTTAATGAGCAATTCATCGGTCTCAAATGAAGTCAAACGGACTATACCATGTGAGGGCACCGATGTCTCAATGGCTGTGCAGAGTTATGTCCCTTAGTTTCTCCAGAAATACGAATTCTGGTTCCTGCTGAATATGTTTCTGGGTTTCGCCAAAGTGGCAAAAGACTGAAACCTGCATCACTTTTGGAATTCTTCCCATATTGTGTAGCTGTCAACCTAAAATCTGAGAAAATGTGAGAAGCATTAAAAGCCAGGGTCCAGGGATCACAGGTCCCTCTCAGTCCAGGGTGAAGCTCTGGTGAGGAGGTGCATTTCTGTAAGGAGGAATATCTCTGTTTTTGTTGTCAGGTTCGGGGCATCCCGGTGAACCAGTGGACTTCCTGTCAAGTATCGCCTGAGCTCCACTCCACCTTCAGACTCGACTACTACTTCAGCCGGCCGGGCTATAAAAGTGCCAGTGGCAATGAGATCATCCCCATCCGATTTGACATCAATGGACAGGGTAGGTAATTACACCAGGCAGAGAGATCAGGGAAACGTGAAGAGCTAGACAAACAGATAGTCTCTGAAAATATAACCTGATTGGAACAAGAGTCTGTATCTAAATTGAAAGGAGCCCCAGGAAGATAGGAGATTTGGTAGTGTGAACCTGAGGGAAATGTAGACTTGCTTCATATAGAGATTGTGCATTACAAAAAGGGCTTTGAGGAAGGGAAAACAATATGATTGAGGGACTGTTGAGACAGACTAGTGAAGAGTTCCTGGAAGTTGTTGCTTGGCCTTGCCATGTTTTACAGGGAGTGGGTCTTGGTGGGGAGAGATCCTGACGGAAAAAGTCTCCAGTACCACATGCTTATCTGCCAGTGGGGAGTTCCAAGGAAATCAGGCTCATAGTACCAATGATTGTCTGCCCAGTACACCATGCTAGTCTTCAGTAGTGTTTCCTGGCAGAAATGGTCAACAGTACCTCAGTGTGCCATATTTGTCTTCCATTGAAGATGGGGCGGTGGGGTAGCCTAGTGGTTAAAGCGTTGGCTCGTCATGCCGAAGACCCGGGTTCGATTCCCCACATGGGCACAATGTGTTAAGCCCATTTCTGGTGTCCCCCGCCGTGATATTGCTGGAATATTGCTAAAAGCGGCGTAAAACTAAACTCAGTCAGTCAGTCAGTCCATTGAAGGTTCCAGTACCAATGCTTGTTTTTTCCGGGGAAAGGTAGAATAGGGCCCTTGTACCTCATGCTTTCTCCCAGTGGAGTTTCATTGGCAGAACAGAAACTTTCCTTGTAACTCAGTGTGACAAGTGTGTACTCCATTGGAGATTCCAGTATCCAAACTTGTCTTTGAGGGCAAGTTCCTGGTAGAATAAGTCGCCAACTCTGCATGATTTCTCCTAATAGAAATCCCTGGTCGAATAGGGTCCTAATAACAAAATACACCATGCCTGGCTTTGAGACACATTCACAGTGCCCATGCTGCGACCCTGTAGAGAGGCCAAAGCAGAACAGTTCTCTGAAAACTCATGCTCCATGTGTTGAGGACAATTTCATAAGGAATTACTCACTAGGAGTGAGTGAGTTTAGTTTTACGTCGATTTTTGCAATATTCAAGCAATATTACGATGGGGGACACCAGAAATGGGCTTCACACATTGTACCCATGTGGGATTTGAACCCGGGTCTTTGGCGTGGCAAGAGAATGCTTTACCCACTGGGCTACCCCACCGTCCCTACTCACTAAGAAAGTTTGTTGAAGCATTTACATTGATTGTACATGCAGAGCCTATTTTCTACATACTAAAGACCTAAAAATAAATGTTATGATAACAGAAATTACGAACTGATATTTGATATTGAGGGATTGTATTTTCATTTTTATTAAATTTATTGTATGTCAAGTAGGCTGTTTTGTCAATTAATTACAATGGAAAACTTCAGTGTGAATGGAAGTCTGTGTAGGTTTTACCTTAAGTCATAGAGATAATGAAAAAACTTCATATTTTGTTATTACCCAATATACCGGTTCTGAGAACAAATGATTGCAATATGTATCGTTTGTAAGGCGTATTGCGATATACCAGTAATACTGTACAGTCTATTAATTACTCACTAGGAAACAAGCAAGGGCGCTGTACAGTTTACATGTACTCCCAGGGCTAGATTTAGTGCAGTGCAAGTGTTACTTGCACTGGTGCAGCCCAATATTACAAAGTGCAGCCTAGTTATTAGTCTAACTTGCACCAGGTGCAAGTCAATTCTTGAGTGGGTAAACTTCTGAATAAAAGATTTAATTAATTCAATGGCATATTTCTTTCATTACATATTGCAATAAGAGCAGTGCAGCTGGAATTTGGCTGGTGCAACTTGGCTTTTATCTTAGGTTGCACCTGGTGCAAGTAGGTTAACACCTCTTAAATTGACTCCTGGGCCCGGTTGTTAAATACTCGGTTATCTTAACCACCGGTTAACTCCTAACAGCCAGTTAAATCCTTAACAGGCGTTAGGTAACCGCGTTAAATATTCGTTGTTCAAAACATGGTTAGTCATGCCGTTAGCTAACGTCGGCGTCAAAGTTTAACAGTGTGGTTAACGTCACTGGTTAGCTTCCATGTATCCCATAGTTCTGTGTTCTGTTTACTTCTGGTTTACCAAAAATGGAAACGCAAAATGTCGCCTGCACCCCAAGGAAAAAGAGAAGTCAGAAATTTCTCTGCTGGACGAAGAGAATGTAATCCAGGCCAACTCTATAGTTTATCATATGGGAATGTCGAAGCTGCTATTTAACGCTTTGTATTGGAACACAAGGTTCCAGCCGTTTGCATAATTTATATTTCAAAGACATATGATCCCAGCTCTGTGTGGGACTTATTTCAAATCAATGAAAACTATATAGCACAGCTATAGATAAGATATGATGAATCCATGAAAATAATATTAATATTAGAAGCATGTTGTCCGTGGATAGAAAATGTATACATATTACATACAGAGTTACGCTTAGACGGCTACAGTCTTAATGAATCTTTGAATTCCCACAAGACCTATCAGCCACTTTTCACTCCTTAAATTGTCATGACTGTATGGCCAAGTCGTGAAGATGCTATCAATATCATTTATTAATTATTTGCCAAGTCTGTCAAAAATTGTAATGTATGAACACACATTGCCAAATCTTTTAACATCGAACAATATAGATGTTGTGAAATTAATACCATAGCTTTTATCTGAAATATGCATTCAATACCAATAGAAACTTAATATGTTACTGGCACCACATGCAACTAATCAAACTGTAATCGTACTATAGGCCCCAGGGCCAACACTGCTGAATATAATCGATCTATTATCCGACCTTACTTTTGACAAGACTCTCATGAATAATACTGTGCAATATCGTCATTATCTGAACGCCTTCACAGACGCATATTCGGAAAGATGTCTTGAAAACATGAAGCTGCGTCTAATTTATAGATGAACATAATTTCCTCGATACTCATTAATCAGATGAACCTTCATTTAGTTCAATTCACAAGTGACTGCAGAAAATGCATAATTCTTTTAATGACTTCATGGTTGGAAAACATGTATTATATTTCATAAGTGTATTATAGAATGCTGTAGTAGATGAACATAATTTCCTTGATACTCATTAATCAGGTGAACCTCCATTTAATACATAGATAGTTCTTTTCAATGTCTTCAAGGACGGAAAACGTATTATATTTCATAAGTGTATTATAGAACGCTGCAACGATTCGGCAGAGAAATACTATTGTGCCATACTATTCCTTATATGAACCTATCAGTGTATAACATTAGCATTCAGATATTGTTATAAAATAAGTTAAAAATTCCAAATATTATCGTGTAATATGACAAGAGATAGTGTTGTGTTCTGCCAGACAAAAAGGTTTCGATATTCTAATATAACATTTAATCAAAGTGACTACTTAAGTAGGCCTGCATATCACTCACAACAGAAATAGATACATAATAATGTTTTGTTTATTTACCTACACATCAGTTGCGAGAGCAATGTTTATGCTAAGTAAGTTTTCATCAATTAATACAGAATTTTAAAAAGATGATTTGCTTCCAATTTAAACATTTGAAGAATGAAAAGAAATTAGGCCTATTGCTGAAATGATTAGTAAAAATATAATGCCGACTTTATAAACTCCATCTGTGGAAGGTATGCCAGACGAACATATCAAAACAAAATCGGATAATTACTTGGAGTATAGACTTTCAAAAAAATAGCATATTATTTAACAATGATATCAGTTTTAATAAAATCACTAATAATTCTGAAACGTTGCGATAAGCCTGGAATCGTGTTCAGATGTTTTCATAAATACACTCACACCGAACGCCCAAGTGCACTTTGCTCTCTATTGGATAGTGTTTACAAAATCAATATTCCAGCTATATGGCGGGGTCTGTAAATAATTGAGTCTGGACCAGACAATCCAGTGATCAACAACATGAGCATCGATGTGCGCAATTGGGAACCGATGACATATGTCAACCAAGTCAGCGAGTCTGACCACCCGATCCCGTTAGTCACCTCTAACGACAAGCATGGGTTACTGAAGATCCATATTCTAACCTGGAAATTCACGGGTTTTACATCATTGGTATTGTCCGATTAATGGAGCATAGTTTTAATGACTGTAATTTATCTGAGTTGTTAAGTCACAGTAGCAGCAGGAACAAAACGTTAGTTGTTATAACAAGGAATGTAAGTAATGGTGTTACTCTCTATATCGGTTAAACAGACGTAAATTAAATAGCTTGAGGTCAGTTTTAATGTTTTATTACCAACTGTTCAAATTTTCTACAATAATCTCTGTCAAATCGTGATTGAATATTTAGAAAGTTGACCCGAATGTATTTCTTACATTTCGGTACTCGATTCCGATTCGGTGCAACAGATATATGGGTCGTCGATTCCATTGTTTCCTACTCGTCCCAGCCCTACTGAATTCCTCATACATTTTAGAATCTAATTACAACTGGTCTTTTCGGCATCAATATCAAGTGTCTAGATAAAGTGAAACGAAGATATTGGGGTGGAAACAACTGCTGTGCTCGAAAGACAACACCTGTTTGAAATGTAAACAAAGAAAATTTCTCAGACTTTACACTGTGTAGCATTCTCTCAAATTTTCAGACACCCATTTGCATGGAAATAGCATAGTAGCAAGTAATAGGGCATTAAAAATAGATACAATACAGGAATGTGATGTGTTTACACGAAACTGTCAAGTTTCTGTGCTGCCATGACTGACGCAAAAAATCACGCAGAACGACAACGGTAATAATCGGCATTTCTGGCTTCTTCTCTTTCTTAAAGTGGGAGTGTATTTGGCAATTTCTCTGAGGTGAAGGTTGGTAGAATAAGAGTATACACAGTCACCATATCCCGCCGATTACACTTTCAGTATCATAATGTAATCGTTCGGATATTTTTCATGAAACTAATTTAATTATCTACATTTAGCCTTGATCAATATCATATCATACGTGGGTATAGGTGTATGTGTTATATTCTTTGAAAGTGTTTGTTTGAATAATATTTACAGAAGAAATTCACACATTTAGTGTAGTAAAGCATATATAAACCTTTCCACAAGTGTTAAAAGATGAAACGTAGGCATCATGTACTTGTACATCATGTATTTTAGTTCCTATGATGTGCATAGATACAGTTTCGCATGTAACTCTTCGTCAGAATAATTTCCAATGTCGAGTCCAGTCCACGGTACACCCTATCCTTTCTTTGCTGAACTGGCATCATGAAAGCAGTGTTAGCCATGAACGCCATTTGCCAGTTAACCACACTGTTAAAAAGTTAGCTGGCGATCCTTAGGTGTGTTAACTTAACGTCACGTTAACAGAGTTTTGAACAACAAGATAACCCTCTGTTATTAGGTAACAGTCGTTTTAATGTACTTAACGGCTTGTTAAAGATAACGAGTTTTTGAACAACCGGGCCCCTGGTTGTCAACATCACGCGGTTTATCCATCTGTTTCAGCTGGACAACGTGGCGACATCAGGCATTCACAACTTCTCCCATGTATACGAGTTCTCCGTCTTCAAACCAGGGCCAATCAAGGACATGAGTGTTTTTGAGGTAAGGCCTTGCAATATTTTTGCTTGATTTACAATCTTTTTCCGGAAAAAAGAAAAACTGGCATTTTCTGTGAAAGATCGCTGTGATGATGCAAAATATCCCAGAGATCTTTAGGTATATGAATAAAAGGGATAACTGAGCTTAAATCAAGTTTTAAGTCTTGTTCAAGGGTTACAACTGTCGTAGAGATGCGACAGCTTTGTGAAATTGGCTCCTGTTCATTGCATTAGGTCTGATTTTTTTTTCAACCTTTCAACCAAAAATCCATAAAACAAAAACAAAACAGTTTTGTCATAAATGATAAAGATGAATAAGTTTGATTTTCCGCCGCTTTTAGCAATGTCACGGCAGGAGCACACTAGACATTGTACATTGTGGAGAATGAACCCTGGCCTTCAGTGTACTTTGTGTGTGGAATCAAACCCTGGCCTTCAGCATGACGAGCGGACACTTGAACCATCAGGCTACCCCACCTCCCTTAGAAAGATGAAATGCCTTGTTTTATGAAATTTGCTTGGTAAGAGGCAACTAACGGGATCGGGTGGTCAGGCTCGCACTTGGTTGACCACGTGTCATCAGTTCCCAATTGCGCAGATCAATGCTCATGCTGTTGATCACTGGATTGTCTGGTCCAGACTCGAATATTTACAGACCGCCGCCATATAGCTTGAATATTGCTGAGTTAAACTCATCTCACCTCCTTGTTTTTAGGACACTAAATTTGGTACAGGATTGTACAAGGGCAGTAACTCTTAGCAGCCACTTGGATTTGTAGGTTGCCATCTCATAGCTGGAACATTGCCAAGTATTGTGTAAAACAAACAAAGGTAAAATTCCAATGATGGTGACAAATTCTGTAATTTTATACTGAGACAATTTTAGTTACAGTGGTGATGTCTTCTGCTTGAAGTTTATGTTTCTTGAATCTTCAGACACCTCGAGGAGTTGTATGCACTGGACGGAAGAGTTCTGTCCCCTTGCCGAAACTTGTCGACCAGTTCACACTTGACGTGGAGGTTGATTCAGGGAACCAGACACCACCTCAGAATATGAAGGTAAACAACAGAACCGTTGGAAAATACCTTGACTCAGCATGTGTTCTTGTTCTCTTGTCCAGTGTGTACACTTTGTTAAGATGTACTTTGATCCAGTGTGTACACCTTGTCCAGATGTACTTTGATCCAGTGTGTACACCTTGTTCAGATGTACTTTGATCCAGTGTGTACACTTTGTTCAGATGTACTTTGATCCAGTGTGTACACTGTGTTCAGATGTACTTTGATCCAGTGTGTACACTGTGTTCAGATGTACTTTGATCCAGTGTGTACACTTTGTCTAGATGTACTTTGATCCAGTGTGTACACTTTGTTCAGATGTACTTTGATCCAGTGTGTACACCTTGTCCAGATGTACTTTGATCCAATGTGTACACCTTGTCCAGATGTACTTTGATCCAGTGTGTACACCTTGTTCAGATGTACTTTGATCCAGTGTGTACACTTTGTTCAGATGTACTTTGATCCAGTGTGTACACTTTGTTCAGATGTACTTTGATCCAGTGTGTACACTTTGTTCAGATGTACTTTGATCCAGTGTGTACACTTTGTTCAGATGTACTTTGATCCAGTGTGTACACCTTGTCCAGATGTACTTTGATCCAGTGTGTACACTTTGTTCAGATGTACTTTGATCCAGTGTGTACACTTTGTTCAGATGTACTTTGATCCAGTGTGTACAGCTTTGTTCACATGTACTTTGTTCAGTGTGTACACCTTGTTTGATGTACTTTGATCCAGTGTACACCTTGTCCAGATGTACTTTGATCCAGTGTGTACACCTTGTTCAGATGTACTTTGATCCAGTGTGTACACCTTGTCCAGATGTACTTTGATCCAGTGTGTACACCTTGTCCAGATGTACTTTGATCCAGTGTGTACACCTTGTCCAGATGTACTTTGATCCAGTGTGTACACCTTGTCCAGATGTACTTTGATCCAGTGTGTACTCTTTGTTCAGATGTACTTTGATCCAGTGTGTACTCTTTGTTCAGATGTACTTTGATCCAGTGTGTACATTTTGTTCCAGGCATACTTTGACTACAATTTCAAGATGCTGAGGTTCGACAGGTTTTACAGTAAGGATGACAGGCACCAGTACGGAGCTGGCCTGATCACCAAGATTGAGGACTATAAAACAGGTACGAACGTACAAGAACTTAGAAATTACGAAATATTCGACAAAAGTTGGAAGTAGATGTGCACACACTGCTGACACGCCATGATAGAAATGACAAACTGAAAGGTTGAAACGGTCTGTGATTCAGGAAATACAAGGTGATGTTGAACCAAACACACTGACATGCTGTTATGCAAGTGAAATAGTGTTAAGTGTAGTGTTAAACCCTGTTCACTCACTCACTCACTCTAGGTTTCGAGCACATGATTAGAATTGGTCTTCAGTAACCCTTGCTTGTCGTAAGAGGTGACTATGCTTGTCGTAAGAGGCGACTAACTGGTTCGGGTGGTCAGGTTCGCTGACTTGGTTGACACATATCATTGGTTCCCAATAGCGCAGATCGATGCTCATGCTGTTGATCACTGGATTGTCTGGTCCAGACTCGATTATTCACAGACCGCCGCCATATAGCTGGAATATTGCTGAGTGCGGCGTAAAACTTAACTCACTCACTCACTGACTACTAACTCACTCACTCACTCTAGGTTTGGAGTACGTGATTGACCGAGCGGAGGGCAACTGTACAATCCAGAAGATGCCGGAGAAGATATGGAGGACTGTGGTGGGGGATCCACACAACATTACAATGATGCATGCCCAGGAATTGTTGAAGCTCAAGGACAAGTCTTTTGTGTACCAAGGGGTGGTAAGCTGTGAATTCTGAAATGAAATTGATATGTTTGTTAATTGTTTTGCCTCTGCATTTATTGTATCCCAATTGCGTAGATCGATGCTCATGCTGTTGATCACTTGATTGTGATAATCCTGGTTAGACGTCGGTCTTCAGCAACCGATGCTTGTCGGAAGAGGTGACTGCCAGGCTCGCTGACTTTGTTGACACATGTCATCATATCCCAATTGCGTAAAATCGATGCTCATGCTGTTGATCACTGGATTGTGATAATTGAGGTTAGAATTGGTCTTCAGCAACCGATGCTTGTCAGAAGTGGTTACTGCAAGGATTGGATGACTTTGTTGACACATGTCATCGTATCCCAATTGTGTAGGTCAATGCTCATTCTGTTGATCATAGGATTATCTGGTCCACACTCTATGATTTAGTCCGCCATATAGCTGGAATATTGCTGAGTGCGACCTTAAACAACAAACAAACAAACAAACAAACCAGTTAAGCAGGGCCCCGTTTCACGAAGCTCTCGTAAAGCTTAAGTTCTCCTAACTTTTCTCGTAGCGTCGTACCTCCTATGTTACAGTATAGGAGGTACGACTGACTGACTGACTGAGTTTGGGTTTACGCCGCTTTTAGCAATATTCCAGCAACATCACGGCGGGGGACACCAGAAAAGCTACGAGGAAAGTTACGAGATCTTAGGCTTACGAGAGCTTCGTGAAACAGGGCCCAGATCCTTACTATTGCACTTCATGGAATAAAAATATTGAGTAAGCTGCCATGACACATGAAGTATCCACTCACTCACTTGTGTGCTGTGTATGTTTATTCATAACTACCTCAGTGACGATTAGTGGTGGTCCGATTAATTGAAATAATCGAAGATTGGTCGCAATGACAAAACGACCAAGCGATCAATCGTGTTTTCATAATGGAACACAAACAATTTTGGACCACTTGTTTGCAATAACAATATATTTCAAAAGGTTGATTTTGTCTCGACATTGCAGAAGCACTACAAACTCGTTCCAAGTCATTATTAAGTTTATCTTAACAACTCCAGGAAATGTATGTTCTTAACACACTAGTCATCCTTTAAAGTTGTGAAATTTGCAAATGCATTTTGTGCATTTTGCAGAAAAAAAAGAGAGAACTACATGTTTTTTCTTTATTTTTTGTGCATTAACAAACATAACCAGGAAAATTTGATAAATGACGCTAACCAATTATTTTCGATGATTGATCGGTTGTAATGAACCAATCATCAATTATGAGATTTACACCAATTCCCAACACTCGTGACGATATGGCTGAACTAATGCTGATGCGACGTTAAATTTTAACTTGCTCACTTGTAATTATCTCCCTTGTTTCAGCGAATGTTGCGTGGGATTCCAGTGAATGTTTGGGCCAATGTCACCAAGAATAACATGGTACAAGAGGTTTACTTCATGAAGGTAACTAGTTCTACTCCAGTCATGGTTCTGATGCACCAAACTCTGATGTCAATCTCTGGATTGCCTGGTCCAGACTTGAATATTGATACACCGCTGCCATATAGCTGGAATATTGCTGAGCTCGGCTTAAAACTAAACTCACTCACTGATGCACCAAACCATCTTGCAGTTTTTCCCTTCTCAATATTATAACACTGTCTGCTTGTGAAGATCCAGGTTAGAATTGGTCTTCAGCAACTTATTCTTGTTGTAAGAGACGGCTAACAGGATCGGGTGGTCAGGCTCGCTGAATTAGTTGACACATGTCATCGTATCCCAATTGCGTACATCATGCTGTTGATCACTGGATTGTCTGGTCCAGCCTCGATTAATTACAAACCGCCGCCATATAGCTGGAATATTGCTGAGTGCAGCGTAAAACTAAACTCCCGCACTCACCCTTCAAGCACAGCTGTAAACATTGTTTTCATTCATGTCATCATCGAGCACCAATGTGTGTACATTGTCCCTTGTCATCCCATCAAGCACCTGTTTGTATGCATTATTTTCTGTTCTCTGTACCTTGCACCCGTTTATGTACATTGTTTTCTATTTTCTTTCCCTTTACCACCATGCACCTGTTTGTGACCTTCATTTATGTTTTTCCAGCAAGCACCTGTGTCAGGAAAACCGTCACCCAACTCTCTCATAGTAGGCATGTACTTCAGAAACATCACAGCCTCCAATCTTATGAAAACATCAGGTCAGGGTCAACCACAACCAGGTCAAGGTCAACCACAGCCAAGTCAAGGTCCACCAGGCCAAGGTCAACCACAGCCAGGTCAAGGTCAAGGTTCACCAGGTCAAGGATCAGGAAATAGGAATGGCACACAAAGAGTGAGATTTTTTAGATGTCAGTTAAGAGAAGTGCAAGTCTGTTACTGTAACACAAAAAGTAATTATTTGATTTTCATCCATTTGTTTTCAAAACTGAGAGATAGAAGAAAATATATGTTAGAAATGATTTCAAGTAAACAAATCAGCTAACTATGCTCCACAAAAATTTCTGTCCAACATATAATACGGATAAGATATGAATATTGTATGGTGTATTAAATCAAATAGGGGGCACATTGGCATTATTTCAGCCATATACTGACGAGAACAAGTCTGCATTCATGAACATTTCAAGTACAGTTTAAAAACATGTGTATTTATTTCATTCTTATTTAAAAGCAGAAAATGTCATAGCACCAAATCCGAAAGCAAGCGATTCGTTATTCACATTACATAGTTACATTATATATAATCTAGTTTTAATCGACCATGAGCATCAATAATTACATTTTTGTTGTGTTCAGCTTGTGTTCAGAAGTGGTGAGTCAAATTATTAGCTGTGCTATCACACAGTTTTCTTAGTATGATTAAACAGGGCAATACCACTATGCCCCCCTCCACAGGTTGATAACATGAAAGTTTGGTTTAATTTCCATTTACTAACTGCCAGTGACATTTTAGTAGCACTTCAATTATTAGCTGCCACTGAGTGTCCTCAAACAAAAATAAATCTGCAAGCCATACTGTAAGAGGTCTCCTTCTATCTCAAACGTCATCTATTTGAAGGGCCGGTGGGGTAGCCTAGTGGTTAAAGCGTTGGCTCATCACACGGAAGACATGGGTTCGAATGCCCACATGAGTACAATGTGTGAAGCCCATTTCTGGTGTCCCCCACTGTGAGGTTAATGGAATATTGCTAAAAGCTGCGTAAAACCAAACTCAGTCAGTCAGTCAAGCAGATTAAACATTATTACCTTATCTGGAAGCCTGACAATTAATTTTTGTGTGATCTTCAGCAGGGGTAACTCAGACTCTACGTCCAATTCATTTAGATATGTGTGATATGAAAGTGATTAATTCGAATTTTTATTTTGCAAGAATTTCCATGAGAAGTTTCTGAACATTTTCAACTTCCACGTTGGCCACCCCGACCCGGAGGTGTTCGACATCAGCCCATGTTACCAGGGAATGACAAAGAGGAGTCTGTATCTCACCTTTACTACCTCAGGTAAGAGAACTCACTGGTGGTGGATCAGCAAGGGTAGGGCTACTCACCACCTTCCACAAGTCCCAACCAATCAGGGGCAGTGGGGTAGCCTAGTGGTTAAAGTGTTCGCTCATATCTCTGAAGACTCTCTGAAGGTTCGATCCTCCACATGGGTACAATGTGTGAAGACCATTTCTGGTGTTCCTCACCGTGATATTGCTAAAAGTGGCTTAAAACTGAACTTACTCACTCATTCATCTGGAAAACAATGTTGCACAAACACAGTTTAAGTGTTTTCAGGAAAAGATATATTCTGTTGTATGTCTGTTGTTAGGGAACTACTATGAGGTTATATTCTGTTGTCAGGGAACTACTACGAGGATATATTCTGTTGTGTCTGTTGTCAGGGAACTACTACGAGGATGTATTCTGTTGTGTGTCTGTTTTCAGGGAACTACTATGAGGATATATTCTGTTGTGTCTGTTGTCAGGGAACTACTACGAGGATGTATTCTGTTGTGTCTGTTGTCAGGGAACTACTACGAGGATATATTCTGTTGTGTCTGTTGTCAGGGAACTACTACGAGGATGTATTCTGTTGTGTGTCTGTTTTCAGGGAACTACTATGAGGATATATTCTGTTGTGTCTGTTGTCAGGGAACTACTACGAGGATATATTCTGTTGTGTGTCTGTTTTCAGGGAACTACTACGAGGATATATTCTGTTGTATGTCGGTTGTCAGGGAACTACTACGAGGATATATTCTGTTGTATGTCGGTTGTCAGGGAACTACTACGAGGATATATTCTGTTGTATGTCTGTTGTCAGGGAACTACTACGAGGATATATTCTGTTGTATGTCTGTTGTCAGGGAACTACTACGAGGATATATTCTGTTGTATGTCTGTTGTCAGGGAACTACTACGAGGATGTATTCTGTTGTGTGTCTGTTGTCAGGGAACTACTACTAGGATATATTCTGTTGTGTGTCTGTTTTCAGGGAACTACTATGAGGATATATTCTGTTGTATGTCGGTTGTCAGGGAACTACTACGAGGATATATTCTGTTGTATGTCTGTTGTCAGGGAACTACTACGAGGATATATTCTGTTGTATGTCTGTTGTCAGGGAACTACTACGAGGATATATTCTGTTGTGTCTGTTGTCAGGGAACTACTACGAGGATGTGTATGGACACAAGACCATCTTCTTCCCCCTTCTCAGGAATTCACTGGCCAACAGTGCAAATGTCTCCGCCATCAGAATCGCAGACATTAAGGTGAGAATAATGTTACAGTCAGTTTTGATTGTTTGGTGATTCGGTTGACTTATGTCATGTCATGTTCATAACTGGATTGTCTGGACCAGACTCGACTATTTACAGAATGTCACCATATAGCTGCAATATTGCTGAGTGTGACGTTAAACAACAAACTATAGTACTGTCGGAAATAGAAAAAAACTGTATTTCCTCATTTATCTCTACAATTTATGTAGTTGATATGTGAAAGTGTGAAATATCTGTTAAACTAAGTTCGGCCTAACTACAGTCTCAGTGGTAGAGAGATAGGAAACGGAGAAATAGGACTTTACTGAGGGGAAATTAGTGCAGAAATGAGCAATGCAAATTAGTGTGTGATGATATTGTATTACAAAGGACACTTTTTAAATGCCCAATTTGAATTTAGTCGTAGATTCATTATAAACGATAGCTGACGTAAAAAATAATAACTTTTATGCTGAAACTATTAAGGATGTAGCTACCATGGAGTCTCACAGTCACTATAAAAAGAAACAGATAGGAGGGGTCGTCACAAAAGCAAAACCTGGGATCGGGCTGGGGGATAGAGATATGAACTAAGATAAGATAATCCTTTAGGGCAATGATACTGGGGAGGTACACGGCACGTCATAACAATTTACAAATAATATCCAGTCCTGTCGATCTTCGGGTGGTCATGCCACCTATATACTACGATGCGTTTCTATGATTTTCGGGTATCATATTCTTTTACATATCTCAACATAAACTTTATGAAAGAAAGACACGAAAGATGTTATCACTAGATGAGACATAGTCAACTCACATGAAAAAGCACACACATCTTAGAGATGACCCCTTGTGCCTGCAGGCAGCACGTGCATTTCATGCCAGGTGAGTCGACGGTCTGTCGTCATACCTGGCTGAGCGACCTAATTGCCATCTATAGTCTGATCTATTGTTTTCAGCAGCTATTCGTATTTTTTCTAAGTTTGGACCCGATTTTACGAGTAAAACATGCTTTTCTGGATATCCTATTACGCATTCCACTGAACGCCCAGTTAGGCCGAAGTGGGTTATTTCGACATATGCTATTTGCAATTGTGTAAATTTTAGGGATACAGAGTAACAGCCTAAAAACAGTTTTATTTCTATTTCTGACAGTACTATAACAACCATGTTGAAAAGAGCATAAAGCTTGTTCGTGATACCCATATTCAAGGGAGATAACTCTGTGTTGCAGGTGAGACAAGATGATGACAATAAAGACCATATAATTGTGTCATTCACGTTGCTGGACAAGGCCCCAATCAAAGGTACTGTTAATATATATGCCTCAAGCCTAAAAAAACTAGAAACTGGTTCTTTCTGTAACCCTAAAGCAGGGTGACTCAATCGTCTGAGGTGCTTCAATTATCAGTGCCGATCTATTACTGTCTTAAATACATGTCTGGGTGTTGGATATTTCTGTAACCCTAAAGCAGGGTGACTCAATCGTCTGAGGTGCTTCAATTATCAGTGCTGATCTATAACTGTCTTTAATACATGTCTGTGTGTTGGATATTTCTGCAACCCTAAAGCAGGGTGACTCAATCGTCTGAGGTGCTTCAATTAACAGTGCCGATCTATAACTGTCTTTAATACATGTCTGGGTGTTGGATATTTCTGTAACCCTAAAGCAGGGTGACTCAATCGTCTGAGGTGCTTCAATTAACAGTGCCGATCTATAACTGTCTTTAATACATGTCTGTGTGTTGGATATTTCTGCAACCCTAAAGCAGGGTGACTCAATCGTCTGAGGTGCTTCAATTATCAGTGCTGATCTATAACTGTCTTTAATACATGTCTGTGTGTTGGATATTTCTGCAACCCTAAAGCAGGGTGACTCAATCGTCTGAGGTGCTTCAATTAACAGTGCCGATCTATAACTGTCTTTAATACATGTCTGGGTGTTGGATATTTCTGCAACCCTAAAGCAGGGTGACTCAATCGTCTGAGGTGCTTCAATTAACAGTGCTGATCTATAACTGTCTTTAATACATGTCTGGGTGTTGGATATTTCTGCAACCCTAAAGCAGGGTGACTCAATCGTCTGAGGTGCTTCAATTAACAGTGCCGATCTATAACTGTCTTTAATACATGTCTGTGTGTTGGATATTTCTGTAACCCTAAAAAGCAGGGTGACTCAATCGTCTGAATTATCAGTGCTTCAATTCTTTAACAGTGCTGATCTATAACTGTCTTAATATAACTGTCTTACATGTCTGGGTGTTGGATATTTCTGTAACCCTAACCCTAAAAAGCAGGGTGACTCAATCGTCTGAGGTGCTTCAATTATCAGTGCCGATCTATAACTGTCTTAAATACATGTCTGTGTGTTGGATATTTCTGTAACCCTAAAGCAGGGTGACTCAATCGTCTGAGGTGCTTCAATTATCAGTGCCGATCTATAACTGTCTTAAATACATGTCTGGGTGTTGGATATTTCTGTAACCCTAAAGCAGGGTGACTCAATCGTCTGAGGTGCTTCAATTATCAGTGCCGATCTATAACTGTCTTTAATACATGTCTGTGTGTTGGATATTTCTGTAACCCTAAAGCAGGGTGACTCAATCGTCTGAGGTGCTTCAATTATCAGTGCCGATCTATAACTGTCTTAAAATACATGTCTGGGTGTTGGATATTTCTGTAACCTTAAAGCAGGGTGACTCAATCGTCTGAGGTGCTTCAATTATCAGTGCTGATCTATAACTGTCTTTAATACATGTCTGTGTGTTGGATATTTCTGTAACCCTAAAGCAGAGTGACTCAATCATCTGAGGTGCTTCAATTATCAGTGCCGATCTATAACTGTCTTTAATACATGTCTGGGTGTTGGATAATTTTGTAACCCTAAAGCAGGGTGACTCAATTGTCTGAGGTGCTTCAATTATCAGTGCTGATCTATAACTGTGTTTAATACATGTCTTGGTGTTGGATATTTCTGCAACCCTAATTGAAGCAGGGTGACTCAATCGTCTGAGGTGCTTCAATTAACAGTGCTGATCTATAACTGTGTTTAATACATGTCTGTGTGTTGGATATTTGTGTTAATGACATTTGTGTGTCATATTTATAACATATGTGTGTCACATATTTTTGATAACTGTGGAAGGCGTTTGTAATATAATTTTGTCTATCGAATGTTAGTATTTATTATATTTGTTTGTAACAAATGTTGGTCAAATATTTTGGATGAGATGGTTTTCATACATTGTGTAGAACAATGCAGTTGGTATAATACTCCAATTGGTACAATCAGTACTGCTGAAGGGGTCGTTGTTGCCACAGGTACTCCAGAAATCTGAATACACAAACATACCCAGGATCATTCCATTCCGGATTGTGTCGTTTTCTTGATCAGAACTGTCATACTGTTGTATTAGATGCATTTGATCGTGTTATATAAAAAATGAGCATACACAGTAATGAATATTTCATGGTGCACAATACCACTCGCAGTCGGTTGAACGGGAAAAACAACATTCGGTTTTGGATTGCAGAATGTGGACTCATATGCTGTTTTGGGTACATTTCTGTATTTTGACTTTGTATACAGAAACGTACCTGGGGTACATATCTGTAGTACCTGTGCTGACAACCACCCCTTCAGCGTTAGTAATACATGTTTGTGTACCAGATGTTTGCGATCCATGTTTGTTATGAATGTTTGTTTTACATTTGTGTACCAGATGTTTGAAATGCCTTTGTGTTTCCACTGACCAGGAAATGTGATCAACCTGCCCAGCGAGACTTCACTGGAGAAAGCCTACCAACTTATCATGAAGTCCTCTAATCACGGCATCGTCTTTGGCGTCAACTATCCCAAACACCCCAAGGTCAGTATACGCTGTACAGATTCCAGATAGAGAGGACCAACAACCTGTGGTTGTACCCATGAATATGCAGCTTAAAATCGGTCTTCAGCAACCCATGCTTGTCGTAAGAAGCGATTCACAGGAACAGGTGGTCAGGCTCGCTGACTTGGTTAACACATGCCATCGTATCCTAGCTGCCAAGATTGGTGCTTATTCAGTTGATCACAGGATTGTCTGGTCCAAACTCGTTTATTTACAGACTGCCAAAAAATAGCTGGGATAATGCTGAGTATGGCATTAACAACAAAGAAACAAACAAAACATATGGTTGTTGTACAACCTAAGGTGACTTAATGGATCTCCAAGGAGACTCAGTGACTTATTCATTGGGTGTTCCTGTAGTGTTTAGATACTAGAAAATCAATTTCGAAAGGTTTTCCTAAGGCTTCAGTCCTGCTCCACATACAGACATGTTGTGTGACAATAAAGTGACTGTTTAAATATGCCTTTGTTCAGCCATCATTGAGTGGGTACCCGGTAGGATGAGATGGTAATATGACTGTTAAACTTGTAATGCCTCACAAGCAGCTTGGGCTGTACACTCCCCAGGAAGCTGAGTTTTACACCGCACTCAGCAATATTCCAGCTACATGGTGGCGGTCTGTAAACAATCGAGTCTGGACCTCCCAGGGAGCTGAGAATAAAAATCAAGTACACACTTATTGAATAGAATTTTATGCATAAAAAATTGACATTATTATAATGATTATAATCACATAAACTGGGTATATTAAAAGTTTAGATGCCATTTCCTGAATCTAGGTGTCTGTGTGTCTGACTATGAACAGAGCTACAGATAACTTTTTGGGTCATTGAGTTATGTAGGCACTTGTGTTCATCTCAATTGGGTATACTAATTTTCCTTTGAGTTACCAAATAAATTGTACCTACCTCACTCAAACTCAATTGGGTATTGTGTCATTTTCCATTAATTGTAAAAATATAACAAAGTTTAACTGTTGCTTAACGTGTTTGTTGTTTATATTTGAACAGTAATATGAGAAACGATAAGAAAGACTGCAAGTTGCCTAGTTCATGTGCTGAAATAGAACCTCTCAATATGCCATAACATTTTTGTGTGTACGCATGTACGATCAAATGTATTGAGCATTTACAAAAAATCAAGCGTACATGTACGCATTAGACGTAATAGGAATTGAGTTTTCATATAAATATTTGCGTAATTTACGCAAATACGCTGCTTATCTGTTCCTCTGTATGAAGATGTCCAGATCAATCCTTGTGGAACTGATGAGCTGTTCTGTCATTGCAGATATTTATTGTACACCCATACTCCATGAAACTGGCTGTGTCTTCACCCGTGGAGGCCAGCGTTCCTACAGCGCAGGTACAGCCAAGGACATTTTTAAATTTGCATTCAAGAAATTTGAGTTCATCCTTTCTTGCTGCAATGTATTTCAATAATGATTCAAGATGTTGCATGTGTTCATCTGTTATTTGTTATTAACGTGAGTTGGGCAGTGGGGTAGCCTAGTGGTTAAAGCATTTGCTCGTCACGCTGAAGACCCGGGTTCGAGTCCCCTCATGGGTACAATATGTGAAGCCCATTTCTGGTGTCCCCTGCCGTGATATTGCTGGAATATTGCTAAAAGCGACATAACAGCAAACTCACTCATTATTTACATGAGTAGAAATGGGCATGTTCTTCAGACCCTCCATCCCATGAAGATCTGGGTTAGCATTGATCTTTAGTAACCCATGCTTGTCGTAAGAGGTGGCTTCCGGGATAGGGTGGTCAGGCTCGCTGACTGGGTTGACACATGTCAATGTATCCCAATTGCGTAGATCGATGTTTATGCTGTTGATCTAGATTGTCTGGTCCAGACTCGATTGTTTGCAGACTGCTGCCATATAGCTGGAATATTGCTGAGTGCAGCGTAAAACTAAACTCACTCACTCATATTTAATCAACACTTCTTTCTCAGTCCCACAAACTTCCTAACCGTAGTGTAAAACAAACATAGTGTAAAAGACACACACAAGCAAACACACAATCCTTATATCAAACCTCAGAGCCATAGGGTTCTGTAGCTCACATATATATATCTAAATATTATATGACATCAGGGGTGGTGGGGTAGCCTAATGGTTAAAGCGTTGTCTCGTCACGCCGAAGTCCCGGGTTCGAATCCCCACATGGGTACAATGTGTGAAGCCCATTTCTGGTGTCCCCCGCCGTGATGTTGCTGGAATATTGCTAAAAGCGGCGTAAAACCAAACTCAGTCAGTCAGTCAGTTATATGACATCAGAAGACTATTCCCAGGGTAAATTTCCACATATCATGCTCTATGTTCCAGGGTCAATGGCAGGTCTGGGGATTGGGATGGTCATCTTCGGCACCGTCATCGGACTCCTCATTGCCTTTATCGTCTACCAACGCATCCACACCGAAGTGCCCTACGAGAGGAACTAGACAACATTGTCCGGAAACCTGCAGAACGATTAGTGGTCTGCAATTTGTCCGACGCAGTAATGGTGTGATGCATCCTGGGTTACCTGGGGTTATCCATTTTCGAGTCACAGTGCCATTTAAAAAATGGTCAAATGTAACATATGTTACGCTTGGGATTATACTTTCCCGGTTAAGGACAGATTCTTGTACTATTTTCTTTTGGGGTGGTTGGGTCCCTTCCAGGATTCGAACCCACACCCTAAGAGTGAGGCACCTTATCACCAGTCCACACTCACTCAGCCACCACAGCTTCCATCAAAATGGAAGTTTGTCCAGTGGTATAGTCCGTTTGGCTCAAAAGAGGACCAATGAATTGCAATCTAACTCGAAAACTGAGAAACATAATACTCAATGAAACGCTGGCTGTCCCTTTCTCTGCACATCCTCCATCGTAACAAATAGTGAACTGTGTAAATATGATAGTTTGTTGAACAACTTTTCAATTTTTAGGACATAAATTCTGCAAAAAAACTCACAGAGTTGGTCTGATGATCGGTGTTTCATTGAGTATGATATGTTTATCAGCTTTCAAGTTAGATCGCAAGTCATCAGTCCGCTTTTGAGCCAAACGGACTAAGTCTAGAACACATACTTTGTGTTCCTCTCTGACAAGTCTGGATGGGACTCAACCCCCAAATTACAAGAATTACTAAGAAAGTGTAACGCCAAACTGTAACATACTATTACAATTGTGTAGATGTTAGCACAAGCTCTGAAGCCAGCCTGGCCTAGGTTGAAGAAAATCAACTATGAAACTAGGGTCCCATTCCTCAAAGTGATGTCAGTGTTACAGAGGTTGTTATTCTATGTTAAAGAGGGAATTATGATCACCTTTCTGGCAAACAAGGATAAGTTGGACCGGCTCAGACAACACCTTTACGAGAAATAGGCGGATGAGCAATGAGCAAACCCATTTGGTTTGCGAAAGGTAGAGCAGATGTAGGCTAGTGCACGTGCAGTGCAGTGCATGACGATGAAATTGATTCAGCGTGTAGCTGCATCAGATTTGCTCTTAAGACTCTCACGTGGTCGGTGTAGCAAGTCGCACTACACTTGATCACGGACAACCTGGGGCCCCTTCGCTAACAATGGCAAGCGCCAGAGGCCGGCACTCTAGACTAATGCTTAGTCTCTGAATATATATAAGTTTGATAGTAACAAACAAGCCCATTTAAACTGAAAAGGAGCCCTAGGGAGACCAGAGATTCAGAACCTGAGGAAATCTAGACTTGCTTTATTAGGGCTTTAGCACTGCAGAGAGGGATTGGCAGTAGGGAAACAATGTGGTTCAGGGACTGTGAGACAAGACTAGGCGGCACTCATAAATGCTAATACGGGTCAATTGTCAGGTCGGTGCTCAACTTATCCTTGTTTGCCTATAGTGCTGCAGGTTGCACAAAACCAAATATTTATCAAGTTCTGTAGTAACATAATATATATTTTTTAATTTAACAAAGCCATCAACAGCTATTACATGCACAAAGTCTGGCCTCAATAATGCAATGAAAATATAAAAAGTGACCACCTCAGCCAGCTCCTTTTCTGGACAGGAAGCTAAACAGACCAGCCCCAGTTCCACACAAAATGTCAACCGCTTGAAAATACCTGTGGTCACATGCAGTATAAGTCGTCATGTTTTTTGAGTCACATTGCCATATAGTCGGTTTTAATCACTGGATGGATGTACAGTTAAAAATCACAAAATTCTTACACAAAATCCTCCAATCACAGCTGTCAGATGATTCAGTCCACACTGAAGGTTTCCCTACAATAAGTGCTTATTAAACTACGGATTCTGATTTGGTGTTGTGTAACCTACAGTTGCTTTGTGGAAAGGGACCCTAGACTTACGTGTAGTGATTCTAACATCCACAAGCTTCAATTTTTTTTAAAATAATAAAATATTTTTTTTTTAAAGACTAACAGGACTTTGAATGTGCCTTAAGACACTGGGAACTTGTTTTAAACATGCCATTGTCACAACTATATCAATAGAAGGAATTTCCAACTCTGTTGTGTCTCGAACATTTTGACAAGACTTGTAGCATGATTGCTTCAGGTATCACAAAGCTTCTCGTATTTGTTACAAAATACAAAAGTGTTTACTTAAAGGTTATTTAGTTGATGAATTGCTGAAATAGTGCCTATATGTTCAAATTTAACGTTTTGTTTGAAGTATTTTTAGTGTTCTCTTGTTGAGGTGCTGTTTAAGTAAAGGGAGATAATTCCTCTTGGAATTTTAGTTGTGTGAGTGAATACCGGTATTGTACAGATGAAGCTATGCTTCTATTTACACACCTGGAAATAGCTAAACACCTCTTGCTTTATATTCCGATGTAAAATAGTAATTTTTGGAGAGAAAAAAAGAGCATTATTTTCCAAAGTGAGTGAGGGTATGGTGTTAAGCCATTTTCAGCAATCTTCCAGCTTAATCACAGTGGGGAACACCAGAAATGGGCTTCACACATTGTACCTATGCTGGTGTGCGAAATAAACGCTGGTCCTATGGTCCCTGGCTAGTAAAAATTCATCAGGACCACTAAATGATAAGTTTACAGTGGTCCTGGTGGCCAGTGGATTTTGTATTGATAGTTAAGTAGACTACGAATGTTATTTTGGACCAGTGAAGTACAGACAGGACCACTAATTATTGTCGGCTCACTGGTCCTGTGGTCTAGTGGGAAGTTTTGAAAGGTTTCCTTCCCTATCTGTGGTCTTTGGTGGGACCAGTGAATGCTTTAACCACTAGGCTGATCCGACACTATTTTCTGAAGCAACACATTTCACTTACTCGATCCGCTCTGTAGTTGTTCTACAGCAGATAGTATCAGGCTTATCTCTCAGTTTCTTCTCCTCTTCCTTCACTTGATATTTTGTGAATCAGCACTTGGCATAGGAGGGCCAGTTGTATAAGGTAACGCAATCTCTGTACAGAGTTGCCCCCCTTGGGCATGCCAGAACCCTATAATGGTTGGATCAAATTCTGGTTGACCCTGATCAAGTTTCTTGGTTTGTTGGAACCATACCCTGTTACCCGACTTTCACCCATGTGGTAAATATCTGACACCTGCATTAATTGTCAGACACATGGGATTTCCTTCCATGATAAAACTGTTGTTCAATATAATAATAATAATAATAATAGCATATTTGTACCGTGCATATATCTATGACTAAGCATGCTCAAAGGGCACAGTCACAATCTGACTGTTATTACCCCGGATAACCCAAGCTGCCTGTGAAGCACTAGAAGGTTACATGACTTATCCCACCGGGTACCCATTTTCTGCTGGGTGAAGACAATTTTGAACAAACTCACTTGCCTAAGGTGAGATGACATGTGTTTCATTGTGGGGCAGGACTAAAGTCCAAGAAACTCTCAGGAGTCAAGCTGCCAAACATTCACTCATTCAAGGACTCTCCGTGCTCAGTGTTGCTTAACTTCAACTGATTCTTGACCTGAGCTCTATGCACATGACCACACACCAGCAGTAAACTCACCTCACTCACTCTTTTCTTCATATGAGGGGGCGTGGTGGGCGAGCTGGCTAAGGCACCAGGCTAGTGATCCAACGAGCATGAGGTGCCGGGAGTCCACCTGTGACCGGGAGTGAAAACCTTGGAGTCAACCCTGTGCACTTAAAAGAACCCACAAATCCGTTGGTATATGACCAGATGGTGGCCACAAGAATACATGCAAACACCTAGTTGTGGGTACAGCAATGTGCAGTAAAACTTGGACAAAGTATTGTAACTATGTGCCCCAGTCCACTCAGCTGTGAATGGGTACCTCATAAGGATGGGAAAGCCGCAATAACTTGGTGTGCCTTGTGGCAGCAAGAGTTGTATGTTCCCCAGGGAGTTGAGATTGATAATAAGATGTGCCGTTGAGACTGACATCCAATGATCGAGGGGAAAAATACCAGTGCCTTGAGCAAGCACTAGTTGCCTGGATATGTGCGCTATGTAAATATCCTATGATGATGATGTGACTCGGTACCTCACATCCAGGCAGCAGAGGCAGTTTCTTCACCATGTTTCACTATAGGTCAGTGGTGTGTAGATATTTCCTGTAAGGGATCGAGGTTCGGCAACTACGGAAGTATACAAGTGGTGCTTACCTTTGTTCCAGGTGTATGTAGATATATTATGCATTTGACCCATGTCATTAACTGGTGTACATAGTTAACCCTGTTTTGTATCCACCAACATCAATAAAACCTTCACATTTTCTAACTTACAGGTAGCTGGAATGAAAGGAAAGGTTGAAAAGAAATATGAAAATAGATTAATATCATGAAGATATTCTGGGATTGATGATGATGATGATTATGATTGCTATTATCCAACTGCTAATATGTTAAAATTCTAATAGTTTATACTACTCAAAAAAGCTAAAGATCACCTTATAAACTAAGTTAAGATGAAAGGATTAGGTGATCCTTAACTTGCTTTGAGTGGCATATAACATGATATTCACAATCTCATCAGAATTACATCTTTTATTGAAATGTTATACCTCTCTGCATGAAGATCTGATGACATCACAAAGGTGAAAGGTCACATCAGGTCAAGCCCCAACTTGACCCCCCAATCTGAATAAGGATGCAATTGTTCTTAAGCCAATCAGCTGTCTTTGTATCACAATTTGGCTCAGTGTATTCACCAAATGATACAGATTTTTTTATGCTAACAAAGAAAATCCCTTACAGAACCAAATATTTCTTTGACAGTATTTCCTTTTAGATGAATGACCAATGGTGCTTAAAAACAACATGGCTTAATGATAATTTGCCTGTATTATTATTGATGACTGTGTCTTCTTCTTGTACATTTGGAACTGGTGGTTTATGTTTATTTTATTAATCAATTAATCAATGAATTAAATGAATCAAAATTAATCATTTTGAGGATATATCAGCTCTTCATGCAGCCAGGTTTCACATCAGTGAGAGAGAGGTATAAACGGATTGCTCATATCTGCTCCAAACTTTATATTTTTGTAATTTTTATAATTTTATACTACACCCCAAACAACATGTCAAACTATGGCAAAGTTTTACAATCAGGAGTTGAAATAAAGGTGTGCCTCTTAGTTGAATATGCTAATATGTATATATCAATTTTTTATTGATTAGAGCTTATGCGATGCACAAATGTACGTCCAATACGCACAAATGCAGAAGAGAATGGACAGAGAAAACCCAAAATACTGCATCCATAGAGACGCAAGAAATACCAAGAGCCTACCTAAAGTCCACCATATGTGTGTAAAGCCCATGATTTACTGATTTTGTTGCCAAAGTTCAATTTGGTAGGCAGTTGTTTTTGTTTTTTAAATTCTAATTTCAGATTTTT